TCATTACCATTAAAACTTCCAAAAATCTTTACATCGAGTTCTTATAAGAACTTTTAACATAGTTGGCGAAGTTTTATAAGGAAATTTTTGGATGTTTGTAAGTTTCAAATTAGAAAAACCGTGAGCAAACACAAATTTATGCAAAAATATGCCATAAACAAGCCTGAATATTCCGTTAACATTTTTAGATTTTTCTAAGTTTCAAATTAGAAAAACCGTGAGCAAGCACAAATTTATGCAAAAATATGCCATAAACAAGCCTAAATATCCCGTAGACAAATCTAGATTGCCATTGACTATATTTCATAAACGAATCTACATTCCAGAATATTATTAAATAAGCCTCATGAAACCTGAACAAGCTTAAATAACCACTTAAATGAAACAAGACTAAGCATCATAGAGATTCTCTAATCTCTTAATTTGTCACGAATTATACTGAATGCCATAAAAGAGACTAAAAATGGCATAAACAGAATTGAATGACTCTCTAGTCTAGTCAATGCCATAAAAAGGCCAAGTGTTATTGACATGCGTAAATATAACAATATAATCTAAATGTTTAAATGTCACAAAAGAGCCTCAATTGTATAAATAAGCTTAGAAATAAATTAGACATCAACAAATAAATAAAATAAATAAATTAATATTAAACCTGGTCGTCTCCGTTGAAATACACTGATCTTATAGATTTATTAACTTTATTATTAGTGGAATATTGATCTCTATCTCTTGTTCTCTACTTTCTGATCTCTCTCCTATCTCTTAGTATCTCTTCCATCTCTTGTTTTCTCTTCCATCTCTTGGTCTCTCTCCTATCTCTTGGTCTCTCTCCTATCTCTTGGTCTCTCTCCTATCTCTTGGTCTCTCTCCTATCTCTTGGTCTCTCTCCTATCTCTTGGTCTCTCTCCTATCTCTTGGTCTCTCTCCTATATCTTGGTCTCTCTCCTATCTTTTGGTCTATCTCTCATCTCTTGATCTATCTCTCATCTCTTGGTCTTTCTCCTATCTCGTGGTCTCTCTCCTATATCTTGGTCTCTCTCTCTATCTCTTGGTCTATCTCCTAACTCTTGGTCTCTCTCTCTATCTCTTGGTTTCTCTCCTATCTCTTAGTCTCTCTCCTATCATTTGGTTTCTCTCTATCTCTTGATCTCTATATATTGACAAAGAAGACAAATTAGTCTTCTATATATTAATATATAGTCTAAATATATAGAAGACTAATTAGTCTTCGTTTATCTATGGTCTTCTCTATATTACCATTTTTGTCATTCTCCATAAACTACATTACAATCTGTACCTAGTAGTCTTATATAGACCACACTATCATTCATACTAGCGTCATCTCTTCATAGTTAAGATAAATAAATGAAGAAAGAAATAAAAAGAAATTAACATGATAAAATTTGTTCCAAGACACATTTTTCCCCCAGCTATCCCACTATCTGCACATGTGTCCCCGCCGTGAAAATTTGACAGAGACGTCATTGAATCCCCGACGGCATATGATGACATTCTGAGCCAGGGGGGCACCGGTGGAGCTTTATTATTTTCCGTTTTGACAAATACGATATCGACAACAAGAATCTGCAAATATTCATCGATGATGACGATGGTGACGATGACGAGGAGGTAAAACGATGGAAAATGGAAATTCAAAAGCACTCGTAATTCTTTTATACGAGAACAAATGTGTGTGTTTGGTTGAATAAAACGCTGATTGGAATGAATAATTTATAAAGGAATTATGATTTTATGAATATTCAGTCAATGCTGAAGAAGGGATTATTACACCAAGTCCTGCATTATTTTAATTAATTGATATAGTTGAAATAGATGATATTTTTTTGAATTCTATTTGAGTACACCGAGATCTTGGTTTTGAAATATTAGAAAGTATGATAGACTATTTAATTTTGTGCAAATACGCGAAAACACAATTTTCATCAGACATCCTATCTAAAGTTACAAGAGATATAATAAGCAAGTGCACGAGCCCGGACTACTTTATAATAACTTTTTAATTACAAAACGCAATCTTTTATCCCTTTCCACAAGTAAGTTTTCGCATTTAATTATTCCATTTACTTTTCCTCGTGTGCAAATAACATTTGAAAACACAACTTATTAAATATCACGAGCGGAACTCACTTTTAATAATTACATTTCATCGAAGCTTTGGAAGTGAGCTACTTCTTTGTTTCTTTGGTAAACTATTCCGCAAAACAATTTTCAAGAGAGTTATCATAAACAAAATTCGTATTCGGAAAGTAGCCCGAAAGAAATGTAGTGATTATGAATTAAATTGCGAAATAAAGAAAAGTTTGTTGCAGCAGGTGAGCTTTTGTTTTCTAACAAGAAACAATTGAGGAAATAAAGAGAAACTTATAAGCAGAACTTTTTGTTCCGGTAAAAAATATCGTTTCCGGGTTTTTGAGACCAAACGCGAGCTTTTGTAATAAAAAATAGTTGTGGATTACCGAATAAATTAATTTTATAAAAGTCTTCCTAGCTTATTATTATTCTCCTGCACTAATAGAAATAAACTAGTGATAAGTATATATATATATATATATATATAGATATATATATATGTATATATATATATATATACGTATATATATATATAGTTTCGATTCGTAATGATGGGGAAAAGTGGTGATTAAATTTTGCAAGATTAAATATGTGCAAATAGTGTATTTCTTCATTGTAAACTACGTCAACTATAGTTTCAATCTGGTTTAACTCTTGAATTTTTGGAGAAAAAAATGCGTAAAATTTACTTAAACTGATTACTAATTTTTTACTTAATCGATCTGGAATGATACTATAAAACAGATAATTTATGAAATCTTACTCTTTTTTAGTTTATTACTTTAATACTAATGGTGATTTTTTTTGTATTTAAACTTTAACTTCCAATTCATGAATTTGTTTAAAAAAATACTTATATGTATAAAAAATTTACTAATAGTCACAATATTACTGAGAAGGAAATACATGCCCGAAAATTATGTGGAATGAGAAATTGTTCACGAAACCTTCATGGAATTTTGTAAATATGCAGCAAAACATGCAAATTTTATTTATTACAAGTTTTACCATAAATTAAGATGTGGTGTACCCATTTTAATCGTTTTTTCTCCTGCAGAAATATTTCATATTTTGCAAATTCATTTCATGATTTACGGCAAATAGTTTACACATAAGACTTTTCCATAAATATGCAAAATAAATTCCCGACAGAGTTGGCAGCAGAAACTGGCAGGAGTGAGTGCACTTTAAAAATATCAATATGCGCGAAGCAATTTCATATTTTATATAAAGAAGCGCGACTTTTCTCCTGCCTTTCCACCTGCAAGTTTTTCTCCTTTTCCACCTTACTTTGGACTTTGTTTTTTCGATAAACTTTTGTTTCGTTTGTGAAATATTTAAATCAAGTTGGACTACTCCGATTTCTAGAATTTCAATTCGGGAATAAATATTTAGCTGCAGCAGTAGCTGCAGATGGATTTCAGAAGTTTTGGAGAGTACTACTACTTCAAGTAGACAAATTTGAATTTATTAACTTCCCGTAGAATAAGTTATAGTAATCGCAAAAAAATCGAAAATGAAAATTTTTATATATCCTTTACGTTTCAAAGGTTTTTGAACATTTTGGCATATCTTAGAGAAATGGATGTATGTGTGTGTGTGCGGATACAAATTTTCGTCAACGATTTCGGAAACACCGATCAACCGACTTGAATAATTCAAAAAACATTCGATTCGTATTGATAAGGAGACGTGCTGATTAGTTTTTGGCGAAGGCAGGTCTAGTCATTTCGTAAAATCTTTGAAGTCTCCAGTAGAAATTGTTTTTTATGTGGGCTCTATATACTTTTTTACTTCACATGTGTAAGCCAGTAGACAAAGTTTTCCAATGCTTTTTGGAACTGCATTTTTTTCAAGATAATTTCATAAAAAATGACATTAATACAAGTATTATAAAATTAAAAACACCTTGAACATTCTGTTTTATCCAAAAGGCCTGTGTGATTCCAAGTATGTCGTATGTGAATATTTCTGAGACTTCTCTTTAAATATTCAAACTACAGTCGAGCACTTGCATTTGTGAGAACAAATATAGAACTTACAGCATTTCCCAGCTGGCAACGAGGTGGGAAAACTGGGGCAAATGATTGAAATGTGAAACAAAATACTGGAAAATCATGTGTCACAACGAGTACAATGCCTTTTGAACTTCAGACCATGACAAAAAACTAATAAATACTCTTAAAATTGGTTTTCCAAAATGCACAAAAATTTGCGGAGAAAATTCCTACTACGAATGATTTTATAGCCATAAAACTCCTAAAAATACTTTGTAGCCAATAAGAACTTTTTCACTTTTGTCAAGCCAAGTTTATATCTAAATTCAAAACTCTAGTGTAAATCAACTTGATACAAATTTTATTATCTAATGTATCCATTCCCAACAATTATGTGTCCCAAATTAATCCGATATACATTTCGGAAATAATTCATTTATAATTAGAAACCTATCCGTTTATTTTGACGCCGATGATGATTTACAACCGCATATTATTTAGCGGCAAATCTGATAGATGCGAATAAACAAATCGATTTCATTAATTATTAATAATTCGAATTGTACTATTTGATGGAACAAGAATTCCGACATCGATAGATAATTATATTATCATAATATTATTATGATAATATCATTGCAATTCGAATTGGATTCGATTGGATAATATGATTAGATAATACACGATTTCATGTACATTTAATCGTTATAAATCATGTAAACTTTAATCAAAGTTTTCTAAAACTTCAAGACCTCTCAGATATAACCCTATGCATTACATATTAATATATTTTCTGAAATTCTTTGGACAGTGTGTTCAATACACATGCAATATTAAACATACAACTATAAAATTTAAAAAATTATATCGTCTAAACCCAGGTATTACAAAAAACTTAAAAATCCTTACCTTTTTATTTAGCACCTGAGGAAACTGCCATAGTTCTGATGCGCTTGTAGTCCTTTTTGGAATATCTAAAAAACCGAATAAATTTTTTAGAAAAATTTATACAGATTTTATTTTCCAGACATTAAAATTACGTTTCTTGTACCTCCAAAAGGTATTAAAGAAATCACCTTTTTTAATATATTGAAATTTTTTATGATATTTTTTTGCAGAATTCATTTACTATGTTTGACAAAAATACCAAATATGCCATTTCGTAGAAAATTTTATACAGATTTCATATTTCTATATCGCCGACAAATATTTATTCCAAATTTAATCATACAATCCGTAAAGCGACATTTTCGTACCATATTTTCCTACAGTAGTAGTTTATTGATTGGACGACGTATACACCTTGTGTGTACACAAAGCTTTGCTAGAATACATAAAATATATAGAATACATATATAGAATTTGCTACAAAGCTCACTAAAGCTCTCGACCGACACGGTGACCGAAAGCTCGCATAATGTACTCTGGAAAACGTGTAAAAGCTCCGAAGCCGGCGGAGAAATTGTTTAAATACATCAAATGCGTCTCTTTTGACCAGAAAAGTGTGAAAACTGTATATGGTAGAAGAGTTTGATTGATAATATTCAAAATTATTTATAATTTTCTTAATAATAATTAAATACGGAATCCAAAAATTCTAATAAAAAATTCAGAGAAAAAAATCTCCAAACACATTGAGGAAATTGTTGAGGAAAATTGTATAAAATATTATAATGAAAGTATTATACTATAATAATGGAATATTTAGACTAGTGGTGTATGGCAACGTGCCTTAAGATAAATTATTGGTAACTTCCGTACGAAAAATTATTTTTTTCAAAAAAGATTTTTTTTTTAAAAAAAATGATTCTCGAGAACTATAAAATTTAAAAAAAATTGAATTTTATGAAAAAAAGTTAATTTTTTATATTTTGAAATATTCTCGAGAATTATAAAATTAAAAAAAAATGAATTTTATGAAAAAAGTTAATTTTTTATATTTTGAAATATTTTGGAAATGTGTGTTTTCAAAAATTTAATAATTTCTTCATTTTATCAATTCAAATAAAATTTTTTTTTAAGAATTATTAAAATCGGATGCTCCATGCTCTTAAAAACTGAGTCACCGTTTTTGACACGGTTCTTCGAAAAAAGATAGATCTGCCCTTGCCAAAAACTTATCAGTACGTCTCCTTATCAAAAGAATTCTAATGTTTTTTGAATCATTCAAATCGGTTGAAACGTGTTCCCAAAATCGTCGACAAAAATTTGTATCCGAACACACACACACGCACACACATACACACAAACGCATACATTTATTTTTTCTAAGGTATGCCAAAATGTTCAGAAAACATTGAAACGTAAAGATATATAAAAATTGTCATTTTCGACTTTTTTGCCATTACTTTAACTTACCCTACGGGGAGTTAATAATTAATTAAATAAAGCAATTCTTAATTAACTTATAAAAGCTCATTTGCGTGAAAAAAATCGGTCGAGTATAATAAATATATAATAAATTCCGGCCAGTATTTATTAAACCAAATATAAAAAATTTCAAAAAAGTCTTCAACAATCCTAATAATTTTCATATAATATTCATAATAATTTAGAATAAATGTAGTTCATAACATTTTTGTTGAGGAAAATATCGATTTTAAAAATACTTCTATTATAGCAGCATTAAAATACATACCAAAGACAATACTTTTCATAGGCCTATAACATTTCAATGTGTTCGTTTTCTCCTTGTTAGATTTAGTTGAGAGTATACAAGTTATGAAAAATAGTTTTTGCGAGGAAAATATCATCGATATTAGTACTTGTAGGTAAAGCAGACACTTCTAGAAACACTTCATCCAAATTCCACCATCCTAGTACAAACAGTTCTCCCGAAATAAAATTTTGAACCCAATAATTAAAACGTCAATTGCAACACTTATTTAATAATTTGTCACAGCGATTAAGACAATTCATTCCTATGCAAATTATGAAGCAGATTATCCCTTATTTCTCCCCCTCCAGCCTGCTCCGCCTTAACCTTTCCTCCAAGGGGGCGACTGTAGGACTTGAAAACTTCCATTATCTCGTCAAGTGTATGGGAAAGACTGAGGAGCCTCTTCGGAATGGTTTTCGTACATTATCAGAATAATAGAGTGACTTCTGCAGATCTTTTAAAACGATTCCACGACTCCTCCTTCTACGGGGAAGGAGCCTCCACTTTTGTATTGGAGGAGGTAAATTAAGAATTTGGTTAGAAATTAGACGGAAAAGATATTTGGAACTAATTTAAAGCCCTACAGCAACTCGATGTGCTTCAAAATCACAATGAATGTGACTGATCATTCGTATATACTTTTAATATTAGTACATTTATTTATTATTTCGTAAAAATGTTTAATCAAATTTGTTGAAAATTAAATTATCTAACAAACAGTTAAGTAATCTTTTACCCTGCAGTAACTGTGTGTACTAAAAAATTCCATAAAACCATTTATTTTGTGATAAAATTATCCCTTACATCCACCTTTCCTTGATCCAAAATAGCGCAACGTCTGCTAAAAAAACCTTTATACATTTCCGAAATGGACGTGTATAAACAAAAGGCGTCAGCGGAATATTTTCATTCAATTTTCACACTTTTCACCACTATTTTTTCCCTCGGGTTAAGATATTTGAATAATCAATCTTTTCCATCCCGCTTTCCATCATCTATTTCCATCGACCCCTCATTACCGAGGAAAACTGCTAAATCATCGTGTGCACTTTGAGAAAAATGCGAAGGAAAACCACGTAAAATTCTCTCGTGGTAATAGACAGAGCGCTATAGGATAGTTTCTAAAATAAAATTTGACTTTTGAATTTGATTTTGCATATATTTACGTTTCGGAGGTTTCTGAACATTTTGGCATACCTCAGAAAAAAGGGATGTGGGTTTTGTGTGTCCGCAATTTTTCAATAAATATATGTATATATGTATATATTAGGGTGGTCCTTAATATGGACATTATCGAATTTCCTTGCTCCCAAGGGCTCAAATGGTTCCAAATTGATAAAAAATAATTCTCTGAAAGTTTTAGCTCTTAATATTAACTTTTAGATAGTGGGCAATTGAATCAAACTTCGTATGGAAATAGCATGGAAAAAAAATTGAAAATTAAAAAAAAAATTTTTTTCGATATAACTTAGCGACAAATGTATTAAAAGTGAAAATTCGTGTCATTTTTTATTCAAAATTCGACGCTTTCGACAAAACTTTGATTGAATTGAGCTCTATCTAAAAGACAATATTAAGAGCTAAAACTTTCAGAGAATTGTTTTTTATCAATTTGGAACCATTTGAGCCCATGGGAGCAAGGAAATTCGAAAATGTCCATATTAAGGACTACCCTAGTATATATATATATATATATACATATATATATATATATATATATATATATATATATACTTGTCCTGGACATCTCAAAATTCCTTTCTCCCTTGTTAACATGTCACTTCGTCCCTTCGTCTGCCTGTTTCTGCATCAGTCAGCCTGTCCGACTGTTTGTTTGTTGAGTCTATAACCATGTCCATGTCCTTCAGGACACTATGTGTACTCGATTATTATCAATTTATACTAAAAGCTATAGCCGGTCTGGATCAAAATGGATTCGTTCTTATTATTTGTACAGCCGAATATGTTAGCATTAGCTGTAGCTGGAGTTTCGCCAGCACTAATCTCTATTAATGGTTTGTAATTAAGACATATGTGCATTGCGGCTAATGCATCGATAAATAACTATCAGTGGTAAATCGATAGTTTGTAATTAATCGATAATAATAGAAACTGGAATGCATTTTTATACTCTTATTTTTAGAGATGAGTATGCCAAGTTGTTGTAGGCCTTCATAATATTAAACAAGATTAGGCAGACTATTTAATTTTGCCCAAATTTTCCAAATATATTATTTAAAATCCAATAAGATTGTTGATTATTCAATTTTCCACAAATTTCCCGAATAATATTAACTAGTGGGGCATGGCATCGTGGCTTAAGGCAAATTACTAGAACTTGCATGCTATTTCCATACAAAATTTTGATTGAATTGCGCACTACCTAAAAGACAATATTAAGTGCTAAAACTTTCAGAGAATTGTTTTTTATCAATTTGGGACCATTTGAGCCCTTGGGAGCAAGGAAATTCGAAAATGTCCATACTAAGGACCACCATAATATATATATATATATATATATATATACATATATATATACATGTATATATATATATACATATATATTAACAAAGTCTGATAATTGTGCTAACATCAATGAAAAACATGAATTTCTTTCAAAAATTTAATTTACATCCAATTGTTTTAGCTATAATCCTAGCCATAAAATTAAAAACTAAAACAATTAAATTGGATTCAAAAGAAAAAAAATATAAAGAGTAAATAAAAAAAGTACTTATAATTAGTTAATCTTAGTGTGAAAATAGAAAATTTAATAATAATGCAATATGAACATTAATTTAGTAATTCAAGAGGTGCAAGAGATAAAACAAATAAAATGCACATTTTTCTGTTATCTTACTACCTTATTTCTAGTTTCAATGTCGATTTATGAGCATATCGAGTAGACACAGGTCATCATGTTGTTAGACAATATTATAGACTATTTAATTTTGTAAAAATTTGCAAAATATACTATTTTTTCTAATTCAGTACTTTAAGAGATATAATAAATAAATTGCCTATTTTTCTATTATCTTACTACTAAATTTCTGGATCAGTTTCAATGAGGATTTATGAGCACATCTAGTTCTTGCAGAGCATTATGTTACTAGACAATACTATGCATTATTGCACAAATATGCAATATGCATCATTCATATCAATTGAGTAGTTTCAATATTATAGACAATAAATAAAACTGATTGCAAATCGATACTTTGATATAATTGTAGTAATTATTTAGGCAACGTGCAGCTTTTGTAATTAGACGTATAGATGATCCTCGTATCTCTCACATGACGTAATAATTTTCCT